AGAGAGAGAAAGTCTAACCTTATTCTCCCTTGAGACTTAACTGTGTGTGTGTGTGTGTGTGTGTGTGTGTGTGTGTGTGTGTGGTGTGTGTGTGTGTGTGTGTGTGTGTGTGTGTGTGTGTTACTGACAGGTGGAAGCTTCCTAACCCTGTATCATTGACTCACAATAGGGTTACATCCCAACACACCCACTGTAAGCTGGGGAGATTTTTTCTTTTCTTTCTTTCTTTCTTTTTTTTTTTTTTCTCGAGACAGGGTTTCTCTGTATAGCTTTGGTGCCTGTCCTGGATCTCGCTCTGTAGACCAGGCTGGCCTTGAACTCACAGAGATCCTCCTGGCTCTACCTGCTGACTGCTGTGATTAAAGGCGTATGCCACCACCGCTTGGCAGCTGGGAAGGTTTTAACAGAGCATGCAGCATGGCCTTCACACCCCTCTCCCACACATCTTAACTCATCAACAAAGCACACTAGAGTGTTGGTTGTTTCCCCTGCATTTGTATGGATCACTGGGAGCTGCCCAGCAATCTAAACACAGGATCCCATTCCATAGCTCTAGTCTGGGCACAGATCCAAGTTCAGGATTTGAAATACATTTTTCTTCTCCCCCACCCCGCCATGACAGGGTTTCTCTGTGTAGTCCTGGCTGTCCTGGAGCTTGCTCTGTAGACCAGGCTGGCCTGGAACTCACAGAGATCTCCTGCCTCTGCCTCTTAAGTGCTGGGATTAAAGGGGTGTGCCACCCCACCCCCCAGTTAAATAGTTTCTAATGGACTCATATTGCTTTCCCATTATCATAAAGTAAAAAGTCACAATTGAAACACACACTTAATTGGGAGCTGTTGATATTTACATGGGTACATATAGTTTGTCTGTTTTTTTAATGGGTCCATGTAATTCTTGCTTGCTTTTTATCAGTGACCTACTGTGGATATCCTTCTAAGCCAACACCTTAAGCTTGGCCTCACTCTCTTTTCTGAGATGTATTTATTTTATTTTATGCATATGAGTGTTTTGCCTGCCTGTATGTTTGTGCACCATGTGCATGCCTGGTACCCATGGAGGCAAGAAGAGGGTGTCAGATGCCCTGGAACTGGAGTTACAGATGGATGCGAGCCACCATGTGGGTGCTGGGAATCAAACCCGGGTCCTCTGGAAGAGCAGTCAGAGCTCTCAACTGCTGAGACATCTCTGCAGCCCCTTGACCTCTGCTTTATGGTGGCTACATCCTATTCCCGTATTTGCCTATACTGTGGCAAATCTGCCTGTGACCGAAGGACACGGAGTAGTTTGTGAACAGTTCCCCAACATCCTCACACACGTACCCTGCATCTTTGTATGGCTCAGTCAAGTGGAATTTAGAGGTGGGGGTGGCTCCATGAAGGGCTTTAAAAACTGGGTGGGCATGCCAGGTGTGGCAGCACATGCTTCTAATTCCAACAGGTAGATCTGTATGAGTTTGATGCCAGTCTGGTCTACATAGTGAGACCCTATCTCAAACAAAATAAAACAATGGCTTGTGGCTGTGAGAGGGCTCACAGGTAAAGATGCTCGGGGCACAAGAGTGGGTACTTGTGAGTCACCCCTGGAGCCCACCTAAGAGCGGAACCACCTCCACAAAGGTCCTCTGACCTCCACAAGCTTGTCATAGTGTACACACGCACACACATGCACACACACACACACACACACACACACACACACACGCACACACACACACACGCACGCACGCACGCACGCGCACACACACGCATGCACACACGCACATGCATGCACTAATCGTCAGTTTGTGGTGGGGTGGTCGAATCCTACTTGAGTGGCAGACGGAAGGCAGTTCATTCTTGTCCACATCAGCTCTGGGCATGAGCACCCCGCAGCCCTTTAGCCAGTTTGGGAATGGACAGAGCCTGAGGTAGTGTCCTGTCTCCAGGGGGATTATTCAAGTGGGCCACCTCAGAAGGCTGTTTCACATTTTGGTGCCACCATGGAAACAAGTTAGAAATCACACAAAACACAGCTTCTAAATACTAACTATAGATCAGCTGGGTGGTATTTCTATGGGGTTACTGTAGTCAGCACATGAGACCTGAACTTCAGGATTCTTTTTTTTTTTTTTTTGAGGTGGGGGGGCAGGGTCTCATGTAGCTCAGGCTAGGTTCTAATTTGCTATACAGCCAAAGAGGACCTTGAGCTTCTAATCCTCCTGCCTCCAACTCCTGAGTACTGAGATTACATATGTGCCACCACACCTGATGAATATGGTGCCAGGGTTCAAACCCGTGGCCTTGAACAAGCTAGTCAAGCACCCTGCCAATTGTCTTATGTCCCCAGCCTTGAACTCAGTTCGTGAATGGTTTAGAGTAACTATGTAGCCGTGTAGGTTTTCATGAACCGGACATGTATGTGATCAGCATCTCCTATGAAATATCACCAGCATCCTGAAGTCACCTTTACGCCTCACACTACTCTCCTGATCGAGCAAACCCCTGGATTAGAGTTGCCTGGTTTTGAACTTCAGACGAAGTGGATTCTGCTGTATGTACTCACTGCCCGTTTCATTTTTCATCTGTATTGTGTGTGGTAATTTGTTCACACTGCTGTATTGCATGTGAGTTTATCACTGTTTATCCAATCTTTTGTTGATTGACACTTGAATTGTTTCCAGTGTGGGTGTTATGAGCAATGCTGCTATAAATAGTCTTGTTCATATCTTTGGTGTATATACTCTGTTTTCTATGGGATATATTCCTGCATTTCTTCCTTTAAAAAAATTTAGAGGTGAAATTGAAATGCTCACATCTCAAAAGTGTGGTACAACCTGGCCATTTGACAGTTTAAAAAAAAAGTTAAACTTAAATCTTCCCTATGACCCAATAATTCCACTCCTGGGTATTTATCCAAGAGAAACGAAAACATAAACCCACAAAAGCCTGCTACAAGAATGTTCTTAACAGTTTTATTCATAATAACCCCAAACTGGAAGCAGTCCAAGTGTCTATCAACAGAAGAATGGATAAACAAGCCGGGGCTGTTCACACAGTGAACACCACGCAGCAGGGGAGAAAGCAGTGAGGCATGGACATGGACAAACCTCCAAAACGGGCAGAGTGACCGAAGCACCTGTCATCTGACAGGAGACCGACTTGGAGAAACTGATGAGGCTCTGTCTTATTAGGACTGTGGGTCACTTTTTGGCTAAGAAGCTAATGGTGCCACTTACGGCTCAGTGTTTGTCCTTCCAGTCTTGTGTTAATGACATTTGGAAGTCAGACTTTCGAAGAGCGTTGGGTTGAGAGGGCTCTGCCTTCACGAACGGTTTCATCTACTCATGGATTAAGAGAGTAGTGGGCTGTGTGGGAATCCCTGCCATAAAAGTGGCTGGGCCTCTCTGGAGCGGTCCACTGTCTCACCGTGGGATGCCCTCTGCATGTCATGGTGCACAGGGAGGTCCCTCCAGATACTGACTGAGTAGATGCCGAGTCAGGCGTTTGGCTTTGTTTGGTTGCTTTAACTTTTTTTTTTTTTTTTTTTTTTTTTTTTTTTAATTTTCCAGAGCTGAGGACTGAACCCAGGGCCTTGTGCTTGCTGGGCAAGCGCTCTACCACTGAGCTAAATCCCCAACCCCTGCTTTAACTTTTTTATTGCTTTTATTTTAACTGTGTGTGTGTGTGTGTGTGTGTGTGTGTGTGTGTGTGTGTGTGTGTGGTGTGTGTGTGAGAGATGGCATGTGGGTAGAGGTCAGAGGACAGTTCGCAGGAGTTGGTTCTGTGCTGTTATCTAGGTCTGGAGGATAGAGCTCAGGGCCTCTAGCATGGTAGCCAGTGCCTTCCCCTGCTGAGTCGTCCATCTCACCTCACTGGCCCAGTTTTTGTTGTTTGTTTGTTGTTGTTGTTGAGACAAGACCTCATTATGAAGATAAACCTAGCCTGAGCTCCATCGTCTCTGCCTTCCTAGCCTGAGATTAAAGGTATTCCTGTCTGGGGTCTCCTGTAGCCCAGACTGGCCTTAAACTCACAGTTTAGTTGTAGATAACCTGGAACTCGTGACCCTCTCGCCTGTGCCTTTCAAGGATTACATATGACACCACACCTGACTCATGGTGTTTTGTTTTAAACAGACAAACATCAGAATTAGGGAGAGGGCTTCTGTCAGAATCCAAGCTTGCTGTGGGGCATTTAACTTTGGATTCTAGAGGAGGAACTCAGCGCTCGTAAGGGAGCTGACATCTGAAGCTGGAACAGATGAGCAGGTAGAAATGCATCAAACTCGGGGTTCAGAGCATACCACGGGAAGATAATGGTTAACCATAAGGCATCTGATGGCCTCCGATTTTGTTTAAGACATGTTGAGCAAGTAAAGCTATTTAGTCTATGCTGGCACCCAGAGAGTGCACGTTTCTCTTCAGAAAAAGAAAAGGGAACATTAAAATACTGAAGTGAGCAGGGAATCCTTGCTTTTCTCGTTTGTCAAGACCCGAGGCACTCTTGCTTACCCAGGAAGTGCCCTCCCCACATGAAAGCGCTGCACTATAATAGAGATGGCTGGGACACAGGAGTTAAGATTCCCAGAAGCCAGTTCACATTCCCACCAGGAAGCAGGGCAGCTTCAGCATGTTCATGTTCATTTCCCATCCTGGTGCGTGTGTGCATGTGTGTGTGTGTGTGTGTGTGTGTGCATGAGTGTGTGCATAAGTGTGTATGTGTGTCTGCTCCTGCCTGTCAAGCTGCTCCTGTTTCGAGTCTTTTCTCATTCTCTCCATCCTGAAAGCCTTACCTCTCCATTCTCCGGGGGATCCCCATTCCCAAAAGTGCTGGTCACCACCAACACCAGTGCCTCATGCTCGAGGGACACCACATCATACTCATCCATGCACAGGACCTGTGGAGAGGAGAAGATGGACATTGGGATTGTCCTCCTGATGTCCCCGTCCTTGCTTAGGCTGCCTTGGGAAGACAAGGCATGATTGAATCCTGAATCCTTGTAGATTTAAGCTTTCTTTGTGAAGCCTGACTTTTATTTTTTGATACAGGGTTTCTTGCATGCCAGGTTAGCCTTGAGTTCATTATGTAGTCAAGGATGACCTTGAACCCTTGATCCTTTTGACTCTATCTCCCAAGAGCTAGGATTACGGGGATGCACCACCATGCTGGACTTGACATGAACCTTTACTTTTAATCCTCTTGTTCTCTAGGCACCTCTGAAGAGGTAGATAGACTGTTTCCTCTTTCCAGCCCCTGCCTCTCAGGCCTCAGTCCTACCCGGGGATCAAACGCCTTCCGGAAGAGCCTCCCCAGCTGCTGTGCGTAGCTCTGGGCCCGGCCAGTCTCAGAGCCATACAGGATAGTCGCCTTTACGCGCTTCGCCATCACAGTGCCCATGAGCGAGGCAGAGATCTTCACTGCACTGCAGGCAAGGGTAGGTAGGGTGAGGGCATCCTCTGTGCACAGAGGCCAGACCTCCCAGGTAGGGGTCCAGACCTCACCACAGCAGTCCGGGGGTACCCCTACTGGGTTTATTCCTCTACAGTATGGGGAAGGGATGCAGTCCCAGGGTACCCACTTGGCCACTTCCTTAAAGGTCTTCTTCCGGGTGATACCCGCGCCCTTTGCCGCACTTCCCTTCCAGGGGTCAGGCTGCAGGATGGGGTGGGGAGGGGAGGAGCATGGGAGACAAAAGTTAGCAGTTCTTGTGGGCGGCCGGGAGCTGTGCTAGGTGGGCAGGAGCCAGTCGGGGCTGGGTACCTGGTAGCGGAAGGCAGGGGACAGGGAATAGTTGACCATCTCTTGATGGAAGACAGGCGTGAGGCTGCCTGAGATGGGGGGCACAATCCAGGCCCAGTCGGCAGGGCAGCCCCCCCTGGCCTTCTGCTCATTCTCCAAGTGCTTCATGAAGGAGGCTGTGGCGGCATGATGGTCCACAATGGTCACTTTGGCCAGCTGAGGTGGGGATAGGAAGAGGCTGGAGTCAGAAATGCCCTACAGGTCCCCCACTTTGTCTTTCTCTACCACTGTCAACCCAGCCTATTCCGTGCCTTGGGTCACTGCAAAGGACACGTTGCAAATGTCCCCACAAATCTCCCCCAGATTGCATAGGCGTGCTCCAAGTTTAAGCGGTGTGAGCAGCTCTGATCTCCAGCATCCGTGTGCCTGAGCACCAGAGCTGTGTGCTGAGGCAGACCTGGGGCCTCACACTCTGCCACTGTGTGCACCCTCGGGTCCTTTCTTAACCCTCTTGGACTCCACAGAGGTATTCACCAGACATTGGTTTCCTCAACCACCACCCCCCCCCCCACTGTATTATGACACTCCCATCCCCAGCATGCTCTCTACCCTCGTATTAGAGATTCTCGACCCCAGTGGCTCCCACAGTGTGCCCTGGGACCAGTTACCAAGCAAGGCTCCTGGGCAGGCGCTTAGGTAACATACTGTAGCTCCCAGACTGGTGCCGGCGTATCCAAAGCTGCAGGCACAATGTGCCCCACAGTACACGGGCTACTGCCCATCTCAGCCCTGCTCTGTCTCTGTGTCCCCCAACGCCACCGCTGGGCCTGCGTACCTGGTAACTGTGCAGAACAGCCACGTTGATTTCCACCGCTGCCTTGTCTTTCCACAGTGACGAGGTTGTCCGGGTGTCTAGATCCATGCAGACAGCTACATCCTGGGACAAGTTGAACAGGGTCGGGACAGAAGCAGCAGGAGTGGACAGGAGGAGAGGGGTGAGAGCGATACTGGGCTGAGTCAGGGATCTGCCCACAAAGGTACAGTGGAGCAGAGGGCAAGTCCCTTCTCAGCCCTGGCCCTTCATTCCTCATCTCTGAAACGGGTGAAACCCTTTTCTGGGACAAGGTCCCCTTTTGAGCCAGGCATGGTAGTGAAGTCTATATTTCCAGCTCTTGGGATGCTGAGGCAGGAAGATTACCATGAGTTCAGGGGCAGCCTGGAAACACACCACACGCACGCACGCACGCACGCACGCAAGCACGCACACACACACACACACAGTTTCTCCTTTGAGAATCTGATGAAAGCTACCCTTCACATGCTCCCTCACTTACAGTGTTCTTTCTTCCAAGCTTTGGTGGCTCCAGAGCTCACACTCACACCCTTGGACCTAACTCAGCTCACCTTTTCCCATGGCCTGCACTCTGGGGCGGGGTAGGCATGGCATACAACTTCGTGTCCCCTTTCCTCAGCATCCCCTCACCTCAAGTATGTTGTAGCGGTGAGGGTCACACAGGTCCCTCATGCCGATCTCGGAGCTCATGTACCAGCCGCTGAAAGGGGCAGCAGGGAACTCCAGGCCCCCAATCTCCAGCAGCATGCTGGACACGGCGGGGAGGGCGTACCAGCGCAGCCCCAGCGCGGCAAACCACTCCAGCCTGGGGGGTGGGTTCGAGTCGGCCTCAGCCCTGTGGGGTTGCCAGGTGCCTCTCGGTCCCTCCCCCAGGGGCTCTGGGCAGCCCCGCCCCCACCCTTGGCCTCTCGTGCTCACGTGGGGTGCTCCAGAGGCACCTCGAGGACCAGCTCTGGGGGCAGAGTGAAGAGTTCCGGGGGCTCGTCTGGGGCCTGCAGCAGCAGGGGCAGCACATCAAAACGGCCATTTCCTGGGGTCCAGCCGTGCTGGGTACAGAGCTGTGGGCGGCCGGCAGAGGAGAGTTCAAGGGACTCCTCACCATCCGCCATCCCCATTCCTCACCTTAAGGACTCCTCAGCAGCTGTATCTGTACCCACTGGAGGACCCTGTTCTTTTGTAGTCCAGGCTTGCCTTGAGCTCCTGACCCTCCTGCTCCAACCTCTCAAGTCGAGCATTATAGGAATGCGCCACTATGGCTAGCTTCCCAAGGAAAGTCCCGGCTTCCTGCTCACTGACAGCTTCTCTGTATCCCCAGGCAGCATCCCCTGGCCTCCCTATCCTTGCGAGCGCTGGTGCCCACTGTGATGGCTACTCTTGGTTGTCAACTTGACACACCTGGGAAGAGGAAACTTCACCCGAGGAACTGCCTCCATCACCAGATTGGCCTGAGGCCATGTCTAGGGGAAGTTTTATTGATTGCCGATGGATGTAGGGGGCCCAATCCACTGTGGCCAGGGCTCTCCCTGGGTAGCTGGGCCTGAGGTATATATGGAAGGTAGCTGAGCAAGCCAGTGAACAGCACTCCTCCATGTTCTCTCCCAGTTCCTGCCTTGAGGTCCTGCCCTGGCTTCCTTCAGTGATGGTCAGTGTTTTTTATCACAGCAACAGAAAGCAAAGCAGCACACCACCTCAGTGATCTCCACGTTGGCAGGGTCGCCTCGCACCGAGCCATCCTGCTGCCTGTAGCCTGCGTAGCGCACCAGCTGGCTGTTCCAGATCCGGAAGTCTCCCCTGCCAGGGCAGCGCTGAGGGAACACTGTGATGGCTGAACTGACGTGAGGAATGAAGCTGGTTAGATCCCCTTTACTGCTGCCCCGGGTGGGCTTGGGCCTGGGGTGGGCATGTCACTCACCGGAGATTGCCTCGGTTTGTCGCATACTTAATATGGTTGCAGATGTAGGTGAACATCTCCTGTGCGGTCCTGCAGTCCCGGGCATCAAATACCTGGGCCCAGAGGGGGTGGGCCAAGGATGTAGGAGACAGGTGAGGTTTTGAGTGCCAGCTCCAGAGGAGTGCTGGCATGGGGCTTGCTGGGAAGGAGGCAGGGTCTGGAGGAGCTACCCACTGCCCTACTGATCCTCCTCTGCCTGACAGCCCCGCTGCCCAGCCCAGCCTGATTTTCCCAGGGCACGTCTCCCCGTTCCCCCTGGGGCAGACTTGAAAACCAGCACAGAGGGGCACCTGTTCACTGCTGAGCTGACGCCTGGGGAAGGTTCCTAGTTGACAGGGACCCCACCTAGGGGTATTGGTATTGAGTTGCTCATGCCAAGGCAGGTAGCCATCCAGCTCCCTTGAGCCAGCACAGTGATGGGAAGAGGTGGCTGCATTAAGTGGACCCTGCCAGTGGCATCCTGATCCTAGGAGAAGGCTGGGAGGTCCTCCCCTGCCCGAGGGAGGAGGAAACTTGTGACAGGATGGGGGTGGCAGTGGCTGACCGGTGGCTTAGGGAGGGGCACAGCAGGGAGTGGAACCTGTTATGGAAGCCTGATGGGTTCAAAGTTCAACTAAAGCTTTGAACCACTTAGAGGGTTGGGCAAGCGGCAGACAGATTGTTCTTATTCCGTTGGAGATGCCTTTGGCGTCACGGAGCGAATGGCTTTCTTCCACATTCTTTAGCGGCCACTTACAGCTCAGGGGGCTAAGGTCATGGATTCAGTTCCCCTGCAGGTCCTTGGCTTCTCTTAGTGCTGAGGCTGTTCCAGTAACCCAGACTAGTTCCGTGGTGTGTACTGGTGTGCAGGAGGGTGTGGGGCTGGGGCTACAGGGGACTTCTGGGAAGGTGGGTATGCGGTGAAGGCCTGGCAGGAGGAGCAGGGTTAGCTTTTCCAGAACATTTCTGTTCCTCTTTCCTCTCTACCAGCTGTCCTCAATATTCTGCCTTTTCAGCCAAGGGCTGCGGGGCTGGATTGGATCACCGTGTGTTAGTCAAAAGGCTGAGGACTGTCAGGAGGGGGCTGGTCCCCTCAGCCTTTGTCTTGAAAGGCAACAGACAGGGATCCTCCCACTGCCTTGTACTCACCCCTCAGGGAAGCCTCAGGAGCTTCCTGCATCCCTCCTCCCCCTGGTACCCATCCTGGGCAGGTGCCAGCTGCTTATACCTGCAGCTTTCCCCACTGGATCCGGCCCACACAGCGGGGAGCGTTGCGCCAGGCCTGCTTGGCCCCAAACACCAGCTCACTCTCCCGGAGCTGGTAGGTGCCTGTGGCTGCCACCTCAGCCTCCACCTCCTGAAGCCGCTGTTCATGGGCCTGGGAACCACTCCTGGGGAGAGGGGAGGGCCACAAGCCTTAGTGTCGGGACAGTGGGAGGGATGGGGAATGGGGTGTGAGTGGTGACCCGGAGGTTCCTTGGCTCCAGTGCCGGGGAGAACCCACCTTTTGATGGAGTTGTAGTACTGGTTGATGAAGTCCCGGGCCTGACCCAATAGCTGCTCAGTGGGTGAAGGGCCCTGGGTGGGCCGGCTCTGTAACTTCCTTGGAAATACCAGTGATCCCAAGCAGCGTCTTGGGGTGCAGGGCCCATCCTGGGCCAGAGGAACAGAGAACACAAAGGTCAGGATGAGGTCAGAGTGCAGGAAGAGCTGTGGTTAGCAAAGGCTGAGGTAGATGGCGGGCAGTGGGAGGGAGGTTCGGGAAAGCATGGACTCGGAGCAGGGCTAAGACTGGAAATGGGATGAGGCCAGATTGGCTTAGGGTAGCACTTGGGGCTCGGGCCAAAGGGTTGCTGAAATCCTTGCAATGTCCCTTGACCCCTCTGGTCCTTCCCAGTTTTCACTACTTGTAGACAAGGCCAAGTCCGAACACAGTGGAGCTTCCTCATTTGGGTCCCCACCTGGGACCAGGCCTCCACCAACCCCCGTCCCAGCCCTTGAAACATGGGTAGAGCCTGTCCTTACCTGCTGAGCCTGGGCACTGAGGGTGTCGTAGGTGATGCTACCCACTTCCCAGTTCTTCACTCGAGGAAACCTGGGTCCCTCTGGGGCCCGGGTTAGTGGGGGGCTGTTGGGAACCAGGGATGCATAGAGTCATGGGAGAGAAGTTTGCTTTTTTAGGTCTCCCATTGTAGCCCAGGGCAGCATTGTACAGTGACAATCACCCCCGGGGTCATTGCCCACCAACGGCTTCCTGATATTTTCTGTCAGCTCTCACAATAGCCTTGGGAGGTGGGCAGTGCCTTTGGGCCCCTTCTTCCAAAGGCGGCCAGGCTTAGGCTTAGAAGTCTCTAGCCTCAGTGCACAAGTGGAAGCTCGGCTCTGAGCCCGTGTCTTGTTTCCCCTGGCTCAGCCCCCCGGGACCACTCTCTAGGCCTGGAGTGCTGGCCCGGACTGCTTCTCACTCCCTGCATAGTGTGTATTTTGTCTCCTCTACGTCTGAGGTTCTTTTAGTGTGGACGTGCATTTCCTAGCTCTACAATGTGGAAGTTTGGATTCCAGGGAAGTGTGTTGAGAAGTTAGTGATTTGGGAGGCGAGGTATAGCGGTATAGACTCCTGCACTGACAGGCTGGGTTCTAGAGGAGTGCCTTTGTCAGGGGGGGGGGAGGGGGGGAGAGAAGGGGAGGGAGAGGGGGAGTGAGGGGGGGCTCTTTGTCCTGCTTGCTTGATCTAGGTGCTCACCATGCCCTTCCCACCTGAGATGCGCATAAGGTTCTCAGCAGAGCAGGTGCCTCTGTCATGTAGATGTCCAGCTTTCTGAACCATGAGTAAAATAACCTTTTGAGTGTGTGTGTGTGTGTGTGTGTGTATGTGTGTGTGTATGTATGTATGTATGTATGTGTGTGTATGTATGTGTGTGTATGTGTGTGTGTATTTATGTATGTGTGTGTGTGTATGTGTGTATGTATGTATGTATGTATGTGTGTGTGTATGTGTGTGTATGTATGTATGTGTGTGTATGTATGTGTGCATGTATGTATGTGTGTGTATGTGTGTGTGTGTATGTGTGTATGTATGTGTGTATGTATGTATGTTTGTGTATGTGTGTGTATGTATGTATGTATGTGTGTATGTATGTGTGCATGTATGTATGTGTGTGTATGTGTGTGTGTATGTATGTGTGTGTATGTGTGTGTGTATGTATGTATGTGTGTGTGTATATGTGTGTGTATGTGTGGGGGAATTGAGACAAGTTTGGCTAGATTCAAACTCCATATAGCTGAGGATGGCCTAGAATTCTGAGCCTCCTGCTTGTACTTCCCAACTGCTGGAATTTTTGTCAACTCCACCCTGCGGCCCCTAAGCCTCCATGCGTCATGTTACCCTGTCTGAAGGATCGTGTTTTGGTAACTGGACACGGAACAGGCATGGGCCCTACTTGAGGGGCCCTAGCTGAGCCCAGCCCCGACAGGGAGTTCTCTGATTTTGCTCTGATTTTGCTCGCACTCACACCCCTCTTGACAGCAGCCATCATGTGAAGGGAAGCCTCAGAAGCCTTATCACTTCCTCCCAGAACCGCCTGCCTGCGCAGGAGGAAGGGAGGGACTGGGGGCCCTGGTGTCCCGGAGCAGCAGCAGCACCGGACCCCCAGGCTTGGCAGGAGCCGCTTGGCCTGACACCCCGCTGGGAGTTTCGGGTCTTTCTTCTCTTCAGGGACCTAGGCCCAGGGAGGATTCCTCAGGGCTAGGGCTGTGGGGTTGTTTGTGGTGAAGGGCTGGGAGGAGGGAGTCCAGGGAAAGGGCCCAGCAGCTTTGCCTTAGCCCCCACCCCAAGTGTTCCGATCTCAGGTCCCAACTCTCCACTGTTGTATGAAACTCCACTCCTGCAGGCCCCTCCCCTGCTCCTGTCTTCTCCAGGTAAGCGGCCATCACTGCTGTTTGTTGAAGGCTTCCTATGAGCTAGGTAAGTACTGCCAAGTGCACATTTTATTCACACAGAGGCTCAGAGAGATTAAGTAACTTGTTTGAGGTCAAACAGATTTTTACAGTGGAGCAACATTCAAACTGTGGCCCAATTCTGTAACGGGGCCCCTTATATCTCTCTTTTCCCTATTACCTGTTGGCTTTGCATCTGGCTTCTTCTCAGCCACACAGCCTCATCCTGTCCTGCTCACACTGGCAGCTTTTTGCACTGGTAGCCTGGTCCTTCTGGTCCTTCCCAGCTCTAGGCCTCGGTCCTCCATACAACCCTTTATTCACGCATCTTACCTGCTCATAGCCATATGGCCTCACCTGGGGTCTGGTGCTGGTTGGGCCGGAGTCGGAGTCGGGGGTGCTGGCGCCTGGCTAGGCTCTGGTGCTGGAGAGGCTGGGCCCTGCTTGCCACAGAGCCCTAGGCCCAGCCCGAGCCCTAGGCCACAGGGTGGCCCAGGCTCCTGGCCCACGCTCTTCAAGTTGCCCATGCCAGTTGTGCCTCGACTCTGCTGGCCGCTCAGCAGAGTCCTGGCCTTTTCCTTAGGAAGCAGGGAGGGGGTGGTGGGAGGGGGCTCTCAGATGCTGGCCCTTGCTCCGCCCCTGTCCCACACACAATGGGACAGGAACAAGGCTGGCGGGGGCGGCTCTAAAACCTCGGCTTCATGCCCGCTGGCCCAGAGGGTGGGGGGCCGGACGCCTGGGTTCCGCCTTGAGGGCTGGAGCTGATAAGTGGGAACGCAGGTGTCCACGAGAGGCCTGGGACTGAGGTAGGAGCTTGTCTTGAGGGAATGGTGGGCTTTGGTGGTGTCAGGCCACAGTGGACAGCTTTGAGCACTGGGTCAGTGGCAGGGCAATGGACTATCATTCTCCTAGTGATCACAGGGCTCTCTAGGTTTACCCTGGCCCTCTTGCTCTTTACCCTTCCTATCCCAGCATCCTTTGGGAGATTGGGGAAACAGGTTCAGTAAGGATGCAGTGACATTTTTTTCCTTGTGGCTGGCATTAGGGTATCTTTCCCCCTCCCATCTCAATTTCCTGAAACCCCCACACCCCATGACTCAAATGGGGGACACAAAAGGGCAGGAAGCTGCCATCCAGGGCCTCCACCCCCAATCCTGTCATCAAGTGACGCATGTTTCCCTGGGTCAGCAGGTCAGTGGGGAGACCTAACCATCAGAGCAGAGGCAGATGGGCCATAGGGGAGAGTTGGGGGAGGGGGGCACTGGGTGTGGGCTAGGCAAACTACAATTCCCAGAATGCAAGGGAGACATACACCAGCACCTTTTGGGCACCTTAAGCAGAAATGCATGCTGGAGTTTGTAGTTCTGTGCTATCCGAGCACTGGAAGAAAACTAGGAGCTAGATACTTGGGCTCACAGGAGTGGGAGCCTTGTGAGTTTGAGACCTCAGAGGCCAAAAAAGAAACTATGAGAAAGAAACAAAACAGAAGCTTAGAGACAGGGAGACGCAGAGACTGGGAGAGGCAGACAGGCAGACAAACAAACATGTGGGTTTGTGTTGGCTGGACTCTTGAAAAACAGAGGAGGATAAGATTGGGGTGGGCTGGGTGGGGGGCTGGCAGGATCGGCAGGAAGGAATGGGCTGTGCTGATCTCTGGGGTCACCAAGAAGGTGGGGCCCACCAATTTGGGGTGGGGCAGGTGGAGGTGAAGGGACCTCAGATAGGGAGAGGCCTGTCCCTGGATGTGAGCGCTCTGATCTCCCTGGGTGACTGGTGGGAGGTGGGAGCCGAGGATCCGCAGGCAGACCCTACTCGCCCAGCTTGCTTTCAGGTCCCTGGCCTTGAGGCCCCTGCCCGTCCCTACTGACTCGCATCCTCAGAGAGGCAGGCAATGGAATCAGGCCCCTCCTCCTGGGTATTTCATCTTCTCATACTCTTGGCTAGACCCGACCCACCTGGCTCCAGCTATGACTTTGACTCCTCGACAACCAAGAACTCCTCTGTTAAGGAAGACGCGACTGGCCTCAGTGTCAAGGTTATGACCACCATCATGAATGGACACCTTCCGGACTTCGTGCCTGTGCTGCTGGCCGCAGTCCTTGATACAGGTCTTCTGACCCCAGGTCTCCCATCCCATCTTTCCCACCACTGCCAGGTTCTTGTCAGGGTTGGCCTCATTCTTTGTCTTCACTTGAAACCTTCGACTGAACCTACAGCTACTCTAACATGCTGGCCCGGCCCCTCTCCCAGTTTACTCTCCACGTTCGTTCTTGATAAGTTGGCTTTCTCGAACACTCCATGCTTTTGTGCCTTCAGGCCTCTGTTCATACTATCCCTCATTCTTGCTTTTCCTCTCAGACCGGAGAAAATCTTCCCAACTGCCCCAGGGCCAGCCTTGGACTTGGAGATGTCATCCCATCTTGCCTTGTAGAGAGGCAAGCAAGGGAAGCGGCTGACATCTTCTGGATGTGTTGATGTGGAGATCTGTCTGGTGTTCAGTCCAAGCTTCTGTGTTTTCCCAGAAGCTCCAGATAGTCCATCAGCTTGGGAAGGTATGTGGATTCATTCCTGCCCAACTAGTCCCTCGTGTGGCTGCCTTGATGCCAGGGTTCCCTGATGGGCAGGGTGAGATCCTCAGAACTCATTGTCTGATGCCCTTCTCAGCAGCTGTGACTTTTCTGTTCCCACATGTCACACTTGTATCTTGTTTTAGATCCTTCCCCTGGACCCTGTTGCTTCTTTTCCTGGTCTCTCTGAGGCATCACCCCCAGTAATTCTCCTAAACTTCCAGTGCCCTGAGGTCTGCTTCCTAGAGGGTGCTATACAGTGCCAAGGGACTCCTGGCTTCTCCAGCACTTCTCTTCTATATGCTCCAAGGCTCTTTGTTACCCTGACCCAGAGTCTGGGAACATCTCTTACTTCAGGTCCTTGGGGTTGTGATTTCTATTTTTTATCTATCATCTATCTATCTATCTATCTATCTATCTATCTATCTATCTATCTATCTATCTATCATCTATTTATCTACCTATCTGTCATCATTTATTTATATACTTTTATTTCATGTGTAATGTGTACCATATATGTTCAGTACCTAGAAGGAGGCCAGAAGAAGGTATTGGGTCTCCTAGACCTGGTTGTGATCTACTCTGTAGGTGGCAGGAACTGATCCTGGGTTCTCTGAAGAGCAGCAAGCTCTTTTAACCCCTGGGCCATCTCTCCAGCCCTTGGGTTGTGGAGTCTAAGCAGCCTGCTCTGTGTGAGAGTACCTTCTGCTCCTTGGGGTCCCCTGCTGACTTTGGACCCTCTGCAGAGTAAGTGCTCCCTAAATTAGCTCTGCTGCAAACGTGCTTAGCCACCAGGCCCCAGGGCTGTGTTTTGGAGGCCGAGGGGAGAGGCTCTTAGGATGGGTGTGGCTGAGGTAACAGGGCTGGGTGAAGGGACAGCGTCAGGAGGGAGCCTTGTTCAGCCACAGGAGGAGATGTGGAGTAGATAGATATGTGGGGCAGAACACACCAGGCTAGAGAAAAGGAAAATAAATCCCAGGAGAGTCAGAGGCAGAACCTCTCACGATAGGCGAGGAGGCACTTCCGGTCTGTCTGACTTCTCCACTGAGGCACTTTTGGTGGGATTCGTGTGGTGGCAGCAGGAGGAGAGAGGAGGAGAGGCTGGCCGAGATTCAGTTTTCTTTCCTGAGAACCCCTGACTTTCTGATGCACAGCAGGGGACTGTGGAGATTGATAATGACAGTGCACCCCAAATGCCAACAACTCAAGGAGAAAGGGTTCCAAATGTTTTTGTTTGTTTGTTTACCATAAACGATGGCAAATGTTTGAGAAGCCCTGGCTGGTCTCAAACTGGCAATGCAGCCAAGAGCCTTGAACTCCAGGGCTTTCCGCTTCTACTCTCCAAATGCTGGGATTACAGGCGTGTGCTCCCATGTCTGGCTCACCTGAATTTCAACATGGCACAGGATATATATATATCCAAACATCACATAGCAGTATCTTGTATGTATATGTATGGTTTTGCTTGTCAATTAAAAACCAAACCAAGGCTGGGTGCTGGGTTAGGTGTGGTGGTGCAGGCCCTTAATTACAGTACTAGGAAGGCAGGCAGAGCTCTGTGAATTCGAGGCCAGCCTGGTCTACATAGAAAGTTCCAGACCAGCTAGAGCTACCCAGAGACACTGTCCCCAAACCAAAAAAACTCACACCAAGCCAAAGACCAGTGACCATGCCCCAGCCCTCACCAGCTGCTGACTCTTCCATTTCTAGGATGAGGTTTCTCCCTGTCTCCTAGGGCATCAGAGGTTCTGCTTCTGCTGTTTGCCGGCAGCCCTGCTGGACCTCACTAACGCTGTACATCTTAGTGACTGATTTCTCATACCGGCAACTCTATTGTATTTATTTAATAATTGCTTTTTTAAAAAGTTATAGCTGGGATTTTTTTTTTAAAGTTTCAGGGGTGCATCTCCATTGAAAGGAAATCACAGATTTAATGTAAGGTATCAAACTGGACGGGGCTTGGTTGATGGGCTGGTTAGGAGCCCAGCCCCTCCATCCCCGATGGTGGGTGGTGTTGCAGCTCGTGGGGAGGTTAACACAGACCTCAATCATCACTGGTTGACAGGGTGACAGGCTCCTGTGGGTGAGGAGGGGCCCCTTCCTGGCAGGGCCAGCTCTCTGGTGCCTCCTGTACCTCCCGCACCCTCCTAGACCCCAGTCTTGCCTTTTAGCTCAGACCAGAGGTCTGTGTAAGTCTGGGAGCAGAGTGATTGCTCTGATCTTGGGGTGTCTGTGTTGGGAAAAGAAGGCCCCAGGTCCGGGGTGTGCGTGGAGGGGCCCTAGGGGCTAAGAAGGTGGTGGGCGGCAGGAGCAGAAGGCCCTGGCTCCTCCTGGTCCAATCCTAAGTTGTTCAGTGTGAGCTGGAAGTGCCCCACCCTCCCCACTATGAGCAACTTCCTTCCCGCTTGCTGGCAAGGACTGGGTGGGGAACCGAGGGGAACGGAGGGAAGGGAGGAGGGTCTGCCAGCCTGGAGGCCTCCCTCGTACTCAGGATGTAACTCATGCTGTGTGTGGGGAGAGGTCTGCTGTGCTTCCAGGTTGCAAGACGGGGCTGGGTCTTTAGGAGGACTTTGGCTAAGAGCCAGGGAAGTGCAGGTGCCAACCGCTGGCAAAGGAAGGGTTTTTGCTGGGCTCCAAAGGACTGCTTTGTTGGCCTTGGGCGCCCTCTAGCTGCTGTTGCCATTCCCGAGATAGCCACATGAGGGAAGCAGAGAGCCAGAGAGAAATGATCTGTGCTAACAAGTCTTGGGGTCAGACCCCAAACAGACAGCGACACACAGGGAACTAGCCAACTGTCTTGGGTTTCTGATTTAATGGTGTCTCCACAGTGGCCCTCTGGGGGCCCTAAAGCTCCCGATGGTGATTCAATCTGCAGCTCTTTCCCAGAGGAAGGAAGCCTTCTGGGAGTAAGCCTCTTTCTGCCCTCCTTTTTGCACAAACCCTCATAGGGTCTGCCAAGCCAGAAGCACAGGAACGCCGTCTACCACATCTAGGAGAGTGGAGCATCAGATGTCACGACTCCTGTAAGAAGAGGCAGTTTCTGTATCCCAGGGAGCAAGGGAATGGACCCTTGGGGCTATTCCATGCTGCTGATGAGCTCCCTAGGGCAGGGCCTGTTGAATTTCCTGTTCTCACCCAATGATCTGGGATCTGGAACCACACCTGTCTACCGGCTTTCAGCCTCACGGGAGGCTTTTGGAATCCTTCATACTTGTTCTGGCAGGAACTACCAGCTTGAGGGCTCTTAGGTCTGTTTCACAGAGACAGTAATTATGCTCAGAAGGGCTCCCCCACCATGGCCCAATCACTGCCCAAAGAACCCACTTCCTTTTTGGGGGACAGAGTTTAATTCTGTAGCTACAGGTTAGCTGTAGCACAGGCTGGCCTTGGGCTTTTCTGCCTCAATTTCCTGACTGCCATGGTTACAGGTGTGTGCCACCAGTCCCAGCTCAGATTCTACCGCTAAGATTCCACAGTAGGAACCGGGATCTCAAAACAGAAATTTGGTTGTGGTGGTTGAGGATAAAAGTGTGTGTGTGTGTGTGTGTGTGTGTGTGTGTGTGTGTGTGTGTGTGAGAGAGAGAGAGAGAGAGAGAGAGAGAGAGATTATGCAAGCACATATATGTGCCTGTGACCACGTGACCAGTATGTCCTGGGGCACTCACACTGACCAATCTCATCATCTGGTTCTCGTGCTTCCGAAATTTATTTGGAACAAAAACATGGCTGTGGAGGTGAATGTGAATGTGTTAACATCCACAGGGACCTGAAAATGCTCTTCATTCTTGGTATCTGGTGTGAGGATGAGTGTTTAGGGTCAGGCTGAGATCTCCTGAGTGGTGACGGTCAGGATTTCTGTCTCAGGCCTTGGGGACCCTGCATGGAACTCTATCACTTATCAGTGCAAGGCTCTGGGATGAACCCAGACTTCAGACAGACAGCTGCCGGGGATCTGTCCAACAAACAGCCTCGCACTTCCTCCCCTCCCCTCTCGGCTCCAGTCCCTCAGGCTGGCCCAGTTTCCTGGTGTGGTTGCTGTGGTGCTGGGTCCCTTGGGAACCAGGGTTTAAGCATCAAGTATGCCAAGCATGGAAATTCCGTAGCAACCAGCCCCGGAGATCAGCTGGGAGCGTGTGCTTCCTTGGCCTCCTGGGTACTCCAGGGAGGGGCTGGACCCTCTCTCCACACAAGAAGGGAGGAGCAGCCCTTAGAGGCTCTGCAGATGTGGAGACAGGGGCATTGTGACACCTGAAGGAATTTGGATCACTGTGAAGTTGCTGTCTTTTAGTTTTTAGGGGAGAAGTCTGTTTTGGCACATGGTTTTGGAGGTTCCAGCCCACTATTAGTTGCCTTGTCGCTTTATGATAGTGACCAGCAGCAAGTCACAGATATGATGGAGCAAAGCTGCTCATTCATGTGGCTGGGAAACAAAGCACTGTGGGCTTTTCTTTCTGTCCTTCCACGTAGACTCCCGGTTACCAGCCTAGGACCAACGAGTAAGGCAGCCCTGATGAATTTGCTGCTGAAAGGCTGAGGTCTTCTTGGGATTCCCATTTTGAGTTCTGGTTTCCTAAACCCTAGCTTAGGCTGCTTCAGGTAATGCTGGTTCCTGTTCCCAGTGGAGTCTGAAATAAATGGGGTTGTGCCTCATAGATCCAGAAGGCGGAGTGCCCTGCCTGGGCCCTTTCTTTTTCAGGGTGGGAGGACTTAGTCCCCATCTGTGATGGGTTTCTACTGTCACCTTCCCATACTCACTGGCTGTGTTCACCGGTGATTTCCAAAAGGAAAGGGATGGGGTCCTGACCCCAGCTCTCAGCCCCACCAGGTGGTTATACCTTCCCTCCCCTACTCCCCTACATGAAGCTGGAGCATCCATGGAAGGTATCGATTTTGGGGTTTTGAAAGCAGGACTATGTAACTTCTCTTGTCAGATGGTATTTGTATTTGGCTCCTACAATATTGTCTTCATATAGCATCTTCTTAATTGACTGCAACTCTTTGAGGTCAAGGGACAGACTTCAGACCTCGTGTTTCACTGGGTGACCTGCACAGTATGGCACACCCAGAAAGCTATGGGTGGGCCAGTGAGACGGCTCAGTCAGTGAAGGTGCTTGCTGCCAAGCCTGGTGACCTGAGCCTGATCCCTGGGACCCACATGCTAGTGCAAAGGACTCCTGCAGATTGTTTTCTAACCTGTATATGTGGGCTGTCACATGCAAGTCTACACACATAAGTAAATAAGTGAATATAACAGTATTTGGGGAAGTGGTAGGTAACTGTGAGTAGGTCAGGGGATGACAGGGTCAGAGGTTATCAAATTGGATCTTAAATCTCTTCTGTGGTCCCTAGCATTTGCTACTTAGTGATACATGGAGAAGGCAAGGACCTCGAGCTAGGGGTGGGTTCCCATTCTCACTCTCATGATCCTCACACCCCAAACTGACTCTGATTTCTGCCTGATTTCAGCCGCCTCTGACACGCCATCTCTGTAGTTCATATTCTCATTCCTGACCCCCACCTCCATCTTTCCTTCAATTCTGTGTTTTTCTAGCTCTTGATGTATGTGGTGTATAAGCCACAATCTGTCCTGTTATAGTGGTTAAGTCACTTGATTTAGGACCAGGAGACCCAGCTCCATTTCTAACTTGTATAATCTCCAGGAAGTCTTCTCTACTTTGTGTCCCTGTCACCTAGAATAAGAAAGTGTTTACTTCCTGCTTTGATGTTTCCTAAAGTGTCAGCCCTCACCCCCAGTGGAATCCAGAGAATTTCTCGTATAAAATCCAGGGCAGAGTCACAGTGTTCTGTAGTGTTGGTTGAGGAGGGTGAGAGAGGTAGAAAGCTCTGGGTACACATGAGACCCAGGTTTTCAGTGCCCACAGAAAACCAGGTCTCACTGTGTCAAATGCTGCTAGGTGGAGCCACTGCATAGTTCCAGGATTTTTATGGTTTGGGGAAGCTGCTCACTTCACAGTGTCCAGAAGAGGGCCCTCATCCTGGTCACCTGGGCTGCCCCTCTGGTTTCCCGCAGAGCCTGTCATGAAGGACTTTCAGCACCTTGGACAGAGGCAGAGTTCCCCTCCTGCTGAAGTTTTCAGCTGCAAAGAAGGCTTGGAATCTTCTCTCCCGCAGTTTCCCTAGCAGGGCAGTTTGAACATGGTGCATTCTTTAATATTTTTCAGTCTTTTAAGGTCACTCCAGTATAAACCCCAAGTCAATGTCAGAGTAGCGCTTGTTTGCCAAACTCTGAGGACAGTATTTAAATAATAACAAAAGCCAGGTGACTTGATGCAGACCCATCATCCCAGCGCTTGGGAGGCTGTGGCAGGAGGCTAGCAATTTCAAGGCTAGTGTGGACTACACAGTGAGACCCGACACAACAACCAGACCAAACCAAACCGAACCAAGCAACAAATATCTCAAATTACCAAACCAAAGCAGACAACAAAAACCAACCTGTTTTCTAAAACAGTGTAAGGTAGGCATTAGATACTTTGTAAATATGATGTTACAGGAATGCATTCAAACGCAGTCTACAGGCTCCCTCCCTCCATCATGAGAGCTCCCACCCACCCATGGACCAGTCAGTCACCCTCATGTGGTCATTCTAGCTTAGTTCTATAACTCACTGAGCTCCAGAGCCCTCTTGAAACCCCTTCTGTGGGTGGGAAACCCAGTCCCTAATTCAAAGGGACAGATGGCTGTCAGGTTCTCAGCCAGAAGAATCACACTAGCAGTTCGCTTCCTCATCTGGAACAAGGATAAACTGGTGAGAAGACCCACACCTGAGTCCCGGTGACATCTGGCTTTATGAAGCTGTCAGCCATCTTTCTATGTGCCTGGGAGAATCCTTACGAACTGGCAGGGCCCAGCTCTTCCAGGGAGCCCTCTCGGCTGCCCACCCGTCCAGAGCACCCCCTGCTTTGAGCTTCTTCTCCTATTATACCCAGAAGCACCAGATTCCTTCATGACATCTCTGCCCCTGTTGAATGAGGGGCCATCTCCTAGGTTTACTTGTTACAGACCCCGCCGGGATACTCCCCTAGCAAGCTGGGGGACTGGTGCATTTCAGAGGCTTCTCACCTCTCCTACCAGGTGTCCTCCTCCACTTCCTTTCAATCTGAAACAGTTCTATAAACTGGCTCATGGTGCTGTCTGTGGAGTAGCCATTGGCTTCAGGGGTGCTCAGGACAAGAGAGTGGAGGCAAGAGGTGCAGTGGGGGGGGTTACCAAGAGAAGCGAAGGGCTGTTTGGAGTGGGGATTGCAGGATGGCTGTGGGTCTAGAGCCATCCAGGGCTATGGGTTGTGTGGAACTAAGGAAGCACTCATGACCAGGGTTGGAAAGGGTCCCAGAGACCAGCTTGGCTAGTCTCATTTTACAGGTAAGGAAAGTGATATTTAGTGATGCTTCTAAAGGCACACAACAAATGGGCACCTTGCCATCACTTCTGACCTGTGCCAAGTCTCTCCCTTGGGCTATTGAGTAGCTCCATTTGGCAGCTTATGTTTTTTCCAAGGTGGTCATGCCAATATGTCTCATTGCACATGCCTTTCTTCCTACATGGCAGCGGTATGCTTTCCTGGAGAATTGGGGTCTGTCCTCCTTCCCCCAATTTGGTGGGCCATGCTGATGGCCGGAGTTGTTTGTGTGACTTTCAAAATGTAGTCATTACAGTTCATTCAGCTCTGGCTGCTCCTTTCTTGAGAGATTTGTCCCTGTAACCTTGCAGCTATGCTGTGAAGAATCCAGTTAGCCGTGTGGAAAGGCTTCATGGGATATCTGACCTCAGCCTGACCTGAGGTCCTAATGGCAGCCAGCTTCCAGCATCAAACATGGTCGCCTCTGGTCCCCAGTCTTAGGTGTGTGAAGCAGTCATTAGGTCCTGGCTGAGCCTGTAGGTCCATGAGCAAAACCAATGCTATCTTTGATTTGGGGCTGACCATTAGGCAGCAGCAGGTAGTGGAATTTCCTTGTATCTACCTTAGTTTCTCCAAGCTGTTATACGTGCTTATTACTTCAACACACCTCTATTGGATACATAGAATGTGCATTTCAGCTGCTGCTTTAGTTCCTCTAGTGCATACAGACTAAAGGGCAATCCCCGAGCTCTGCAAATGGTGCCAGCCCCCACATAGTTTTGTCCCTAGACCTGGTCCCCATGATCCAAGTCTCTACATCTTGGTTCATGTCCCCTCCACCTGCAACACTTTTTCCTTGCTCACATCAACCTTCAAGGACTTGCTCCAAAGCCTCTTCCCCTCCCCAGACCCTCCTCGTCTCCTCCAGGAGACATGAACTGGCACCTCCCTGTAATCCCACAGCACTCATTACAGACTACAGTTTTGTCTGCCCACCGCCTCCCTCAGACACCACTAGACTGTGAATCCCTGGAGGAGGGAGACTGGCTTAGTCCTCCTGTTCCCCAACCCCCCAGCATCTGGCACAAGGCCTAGAACATAGGAGGTCCCCAGGAAGCATTTGTTGACATGACTGGTAGCAGAAGTAGAATCGGAAGCTAGGTGTCCTGAATCCCAGTCTCCAGCACTTTGCTCACTTCCTATGCCACCAAATCAGGAACATGTGCCTGCAAAGGTAAGTGTCGGGTGGGTAGGGAAAGACCTTGGAATGGGCTGGGGCTTGGCAGAATTGCTTCATGTGGAACTGCAGGTGGCGGTGAGTCAGGGAGCCCTGGCTTCGGGTGTAGGGCTGAGGTGTGTCTCTCCTCTGTTGATTCAGCCCCCCCTTTCCCCTCTCTCTCAGTAGGGCCTGAGCACCTGCTCCTGGGGGGAAGACACACTGCCCCTTGCCTGTCTTCTGCAACTCCAGTTCACATCTGAAGAACATTGCTATTCCGAGAACCCAGCTGTACAGGAAAAGGTCCCGGTGCCCCCCAAAAGTCAAGTTTGCCCTTGATACCAGGGGATTGCTGTTGCTGCCCTCCCTCCCCTGGGGCTTCGGAAGAGTCCATCCCTGTCAGCTGTCTCTCTTATGTCTGCTCCACTGGAAATGCTTGTCAGTCCCCTGTGAGTGTCACTGTCTCTCCTGGCCTGGTCCTTGGGGGACTGCCAGCAAGGGCAGCTTCCATTTCTTTCTCCCTCAGGCTGAGCAGGAGCAGAGAGTGGGGTGGGTAGGATGTTTTCTGCAGACTTTTCTCCCTAAATTGTCTCTTTCTGGGAGCTGGGTGGAGCCTACATGTGTCTCTCTATAAATACAGCCTCTCCCTTCCCTCAGCCACAGGCAGGGTGGGGGAGAGCTCTTCCCATGAATGACCCTTGGGGCCTGTTGTGGGGGTGGGGCAGAGTGTAGATGCTCTGGGTATTAGGTTTGTCTGCGTCTGGAAGTGGGAGGTTGGTGCATGATAGACCAGAGGGACTTCTGTATGAAGTGGTCTCTTGATGCCTGGCACCAGCAACTCCAGAAATGATGCCTTGAGGAAAGCATGTCTAGCTCAGGGTTTCTCCATCCTCAACTTTATCCCTGACTGGGGGTGGCTCTGTGGCCTGCCTTCAGGCACCCCCTGAGCTTCCTAGGAAGTTAGAAATCTGCCATTGGCTTTGACATACACCTTTCTCTGTATGTTGCTTGGTGGTGGTGGTGGTGGTGTGTGGAGAGAGAGAGAGAGAGAGAGAGAGAGAGAGAGAGAGAGAGAGGAGAGAGAGAGGAGAGATTTGGCTTCCTTTAGCCTGAGGAAGAAGCTCTCATCCTCAGGAGAGCTTCTCTATATCTGATCCTCTCTTATTGGCATGACAAAGGTCTCGGTGACTCTTATGTTCTCCTCTGCGATAAGACCCAAAGGCTTTCTCAGCAAGTGACTCCCTGTCCTAAGGATGGCTGGCCAGGTCAGATGAGGAGTTCCATCCGTTCGGGGCCTGGCTCTCCTGGCCTTGGTCTGGACGGAAGGGGTTCTTCCCTCACGTCTTCCTCTCCATGCCATTTTCCAGCCTCTTCTCACTTTCAGTCCCCAGGACCCTCTGTTCACACAGGCCAGGTGTGTGTGTGTGTGTGTGTGTGTGTGTGTGTGTGTGAGAGAGAGAGAGAGAGAGAGAGAGAGAGAGAGAGAGAGAGAGAGAGAGAGAGAGAGAAGAGCCAGACCCAGATGTGCTGATGCCTCTGATGGCCATTACATGTTGGGGAAGGCCCTGGGCATCCTGGGTGTGAGTGAGGAAGCCACTGGAGGTGGGAAGGAAGGGTCTGAAGGATGACTGTGCAGGCAGGAGCCTCTGGACTTTTTTAGCATCAGCTGGTGGAGCCGCCTCCTTCTCTCCCACCGGCTGCCTCCCTGAGTCACTGCCCACCCACTAGCAAATAAAAAAGAGTGTCATCTTCTGGCCAGTGGCCCTGTGTGGCCTTAGTGTTTGCAGGTTTTCACTCCTGGACGGAAGGTGAGAGTTTTATTCCTGGCTGGGGTGGTCTCCTGGCGACCTGTCTTTCCCCAGCTTCCCTCCTTCCAGCCGGTTTCCGTCTTCACCCTTTGTTCCTCCCTTCCCCCCTCCATCCCATGACAGTTCTCGCTGGTGACAAGACCCAGCCCCTTGCTCCAAGGACAGAGGCAGCTGCAAGCCCTCAGGAGCCCCCACATGGCCCCATCCATCCAGACAGGCCTCTGATCCGGCTTGCAGGCCGGGGAGGGGATTCAAGGCCTCCTCAACTCCAGCTGCCGGCTCCTCCCCACAGCAGGCCTGCTCAGCTGTCAACACTCGCCTCTCGGCCTTGTCCTGCCCCAGGCGTTGCTTAGATGCTCAAACCAGGGGCACCCCGGCCGCCCGAAGACCCCTCCTCAGGCCCCAGCAGGCGGTGGGCAGGCAGTGGGCAGGCGGCGGGCAGACACCCTGCCTACCCTTGAGCATCCTCAGACCTCCTTGCCTAAATAAGGGAGCTGCAGCTGGAGAGAGCCAGCTGGCAGGGGGAGGGGCCTGCGGATAGGCCAGGGTTTTCCGAGGGGCTGGGCCGCCCCGGCCGCCTCAGGGCCCCAAGCCCTCCCATTGGGCCTACGATTAGGTTGGTTCCGCACTACAGAGGGCGGGCAGGCCTCTAGCACACGGGGATCCCTTGGCTGGGACCTCACGCTCAGGAACCTTTCTTTGATCTCTCAGCTAGGAGGCCACAACTCTTGTCAGTGTCCCTCGGTGTGCGTGCCACCCATGAAAGAGATTCGACTAACCCCTGAGAGGGCCTTGTCTGTTGTCTGTCTGCTGGAGATTGGGGCGATCGGGGAGGCTGTGCCTCTCCTCCGGCTCACCCACCCTTGTCTCAAAATTCTACAGCTCCCACGCCCCCTGTTCTCCCCATTCCCCGGGTCTCCCCTGGTCCTGGGGCTTCTCTTCTCAGAGCCTAGGCCTCACTCAGCCAAGTCACCCACAGCAGATTCTGAGAGTAAGCTGTGTGTACTCCGCCTGCCCTAGGCGCAGGAGGGAAGCCGGGGATAAAGGGTTGGCCCTGTCCCATCAAATCAGGTTTCTCGGCCCCGAGGCTGGGAGGGGGGCCATATCCCGGCGCCCCTCTCCCTGGCCACCTCCAAAACCGGCCGTCGCACCTGTCCTCACGGCTCCCCTACCTAAGGGTCCCTTCCCCCTCTCGGTGGAGCGCGAGTCCCGGGGGCTCGGTAGCCGAGCGAGGGGTTGGGGCCCGGGGAGCGCTCGGCGCGGCTCAGCCAATGAGAAGGGCGGGCGCTCGGGGTGGCGGGGAGAGGGCGGCGCTGCAGGCGCGCGGCGGCA